AAGTCTCTAGCACTTCTCCTTCTAGTGGAACAGACAGGCAGACAGACACACACACAGACAGACACGAGGTCGTTTGCATAAGCCCGCTGGATAGCTTTTCCAAAGCAGAAGGGCGGGCTGAAAACAACGGGACCCAAAAATGAGGTTTTTTCAAAAATATTTTGTTTATGGTTTCTTAGGGGGTAAGTCATCAAGGTAGAGTCTTGTGGGCGAAAATTTTCACTGTTTAGCTCTAGCTCAAACCGTTGAGGCGCTAGAGGTGTTATTGACGAAAATGAGCAAAAAAAATTCCAACCTTGCATGCTTAGTCAAAGTGACGGGCCGTTCGAAGGGCCTGAGGCCTGTATCTTTGTGTACATTTTTGCACTACCCGACTCGGGTGTCAGCGCTGCAGGCCAAGGTAGATGTAACGCCAGGCGCGTCGCAGCGTAACAGTGTTTCGTGAGATATCGCGAAGCCTGTTACGCAAAAACGTGGTTTGGCGTACATCTACCTTGTTCTTAAACCTGTGTGCCTTGGTCTAGGGCGGATTTGCCGTAGCGTAGGCGTTTTGATCTCTTTGGGTGGACCTGGCTACCCGGAAAATTTTAAGTCTCTATCACATTCTTCCAGACAGACTGACAGACAGACACCACGCCATGGCATCAGCCAGCTCGATAGTTTTTTCAAAGCAGGAGGGTGGGCTAAAAACGGAAGGTGAAAAGGCGCGCTCTCGGCCAGGCACAAGAAGATTAAAAAAAAAATACAACCACCAGGTAATGTCATAAAGCTAAAAGTCTCAAATACTAAAAGAAAAGAGTGCCCCACACTCAACTGGAGGTTTTGAATGAAACGTTTGAACGTAGAATTGGAATTTGTTCTTTTCTGTCTTTTGAAGACACAGTTGCCTGTGTCCAGTAAAACCTACCTGGGTTGAGTGACAGCCGAATTCCTCCATAAATGCGGAAATTGAAGATAAGTTGATCATAATATTCCCCACGTCGTCTCTTCGTCGTGCGAGAAAGCGGATGAAAAGGGGACAGACTAATGACCCTGTTTGTCAATGGTGTGTCTATTATGTACCAATGAACTCCCGTACTCAAATAAAAGTAACACACTATACGAACCTGACAGTAGTAATATAGGTACCCGCCTAGTTTCTGAATTTGAAGCAAGAAGGACTTCCACACTCCAGCGTGCAGCAAATATGACAGTCAAAACCAGGGACCACTGCATTGAATAATACACAATATTATTTCAATTCTACACTCTAAAAAAAATACTAAAGATTTATCGGTGAATGTCTACAATCGTGATCACGGCTTTTGAGCCTTGTAAATAACCATTGGAAACAGCTAATCGTTTTGATACATTTGGAATTAATTAGCGCTCTTGTTGTTTTCTGGGAATTTGAATACATACCCG